GGAGATGTTAAGAGTGTTACGCTTTAGCAAACAACTTGTCCTACTAAATTGCCCCCCAAGGATCACATGCTGCATTTAAAGGCATTCATGCCGTGAAATGTGGCATGAAGGTTTTAGACATGCACACAAAGAACCTCGGGATCCTAAATGCCATGGAATAATAATACAACATAATTGGTGTATCAATACCAGCAAAATTGCCTCTTTTGAAACATTGGAGAATATACTGTATAAAATGAAAACAGCTGTCATTTTATATGATATTGCTATATCCAGATGTAAATCCAAACACATTTAGTTGCATTTAATGCTCAAGTGTTTAGAACAAATAGTCAAACCAGTGTCTGCATTCTTCTCTTCTTATACCTACTTCATAGCAGAGAGGCATACAGGTGTACAGGTAAATGCATGCAAAGGTACAGTGTAAGCATTACATTAGACAAATCTCTTTTAAAAACATTAATGACTGATTTCCATATTTTTAAATTACAATCTACTTGGATTCATCAAACTGACAACAGGATTTTGTAAAACACAATATAATCATTTCATCATAATAAAAAGTTAAACAGCCAAATTAAGTTCGCTAGATGGCTGATTTATGGACTTCACTCATTAGCACCTGAATGTTGATACAGGACTTAATCAGCTGCAGGGAAACATCAAACACACAAACGGATTCGTTAAATACACTCACCTGTGAATCAATCACCATACATGGCTTTCTGATACATCATAACAAATGCTCTATTTCCCATCCAAATCTATCAGCTTCACACCTGTACAAAACCTGAATTATACTACTTGGCAGCTGCAATTCACACATCGAAACTAAACGGAGGTCGCTGCAAGCAAACTGATCAGCAAAGCATTGATGATACAGAGTTGCTGTTGCACCGCTCATTAAACCAGCAATAAACATGAAAGATGTTAGAACAAGCAGAGCGAGCGGTCTTACCTCGAAGCACCTGTTTGTTCTGTGTAGAAGCAGGCATCGAATTCAGAGGCACTGAGCAGATTTATCTTGGTATTAGTTATAGGCTCATTGGTAGAGCAGGGTCTCCCTTCAATCAGAGGATTGGTGGTTGGATCCCCGGCTCCGCTAGTCGATGTGTCCTTGGGCAAGACACTAATGGTTAGTTAGACCCAGCGCTGCCACTAGACAGCTGTTATGTACATTTTCTTGTAACCCGTGTAGCATTAAAGCATGGTGGATGCTTTAATGCTACACGGGTTACAGAAGTTGTCCCTCGTCTGGCGATAGCAATGTGATTTCCTATGCAAGTGTGTGTGGATGAAGCGTTACGTTATTGAATTTGACTGGGGTTGACTCAAAGTTTACGGGACTTGACATAAGTCAATTGGTTTATACAGAAGTCAGCCATCTACTATGGTCACAATGGCAGCAGTGCAGATAATTTGATTCCATTTCTAATGCATTCACCTTGTACTGTATGTCTGCAACTTTAGAAAGGACAGAGTTCAGCCACCCTTAACGTGCTTCAGATACGTAATCAGACCTCATCATACACTGAGTGAACATCATTAACAGCAGGCTCAAGTCATAATAATGCTTCTGTCAGAGATTAACAGCGTCACCTGTGTCATTCACTCCCTCAACATTAGAGGTTAAATGGGTTCTATTAGTTCTGAGCTCGTTCCAAAATTCATTATAACTTTTAATTAGCAACTTCTAGAAAACACATCCTTGTATTCTCATTTCTTTTCATTTTGATTCCAGCACATACAGAACGCTATACTTTTAAAATGTATATTCCACCTAGATGTAATACTATATGTTTTATCTTTTTATTCATCACAGCTCACTTACCAGCATGCCATTCACGAAAAATGGCATGCTGCCAAACCCCCCTCTCTCTCCCTGTCCTGTCATTTTTCAGCTGCTCTAATAAAGGTAATAAAAGTTTAAAAAAAGAAGAAAAAAACGTAGCTCGGTTTGCCTGAAAGACTTAATTTACTATGTTTTGCTTGAGGACCGACAGCCTTCCACTGTTGCTAGTGTTCCGTAAATACTGCAGGTAAGGCCTGCACCATTAACTATCATTGCAACAATCACATGGTCTGTAGTAGCCTTCCTGTAATGCTGTAAATCTCTACGTTGAATGGGGCAGCAAGTAAAGCAGACGATATGACGTCTCTTCACTGTGTAAAACTGTTGCAGGTAATAATACTTTACTGAGTACAACAGATGATTGCCTGAAGACGTAAACAGGTTGTGTCATAACCTCAATTAAATGATTTATAGAAGACCCAAGTCACCCCCACTCAACAACCCCTACAATATATTAACAATATATTGGATCATGCTTAATATTCCAGTCTATTGCCACTCCTCTAGGTATTCAACCTTGGTGTAATTGTGTAAAGCTTACACGATCTTGCATTGCTAGCCATGTCTCTTGAATGCAGAAAAATGCTCCCAAAATGCTCTTCAACCACAATTTAGCCAGAATTTATGAAGGAATGTCTCAGTTACATGTCATGAATCTAAGATATTAGACTGTGTTTAATGTATTTCTTCATTAAAGTTATTGAAGTGCCCCACATTTCATGAAACAGAATGCATTATAACAAGTGCCACGGTGATGCATTCCTTCCCAAGCGTTACAGATTAACATGGTAATGATATCCTAACTATACTCTAATGAGACTTTAATCATTCTGTTCCATTTTGTTTCAAAGCATGTGATGCATTTCGCGAGGCATGAAAAGTGACACTTGCCCCAATATGCATTCGTGCGAGCCTGCTCACACAATGGCTGCCCACATCTCAGATGTTTTGTTTTCTTCTGAAACTAAATAGCATACCGGTCTGGTTATCAGGCTACATTTGCACACATAATGCAGCGTCAGACACTTTGGCGCTACATATCCCCCGTACTGGTTGCGCGCCATTCCACTCCAGCTTTCCCTTCAGGAGAACAGAGTTCACATGTTCTCTTTTGGAAACTCTTCCTCAGTGTCTCCATCTGAAAAGGTCAGCAAAGAAAAAGAAAAAAAGGCCAGGAGGTGATGCACCTGCCTCCACCCACGCTGAGAACAACGCTGATGATGATGATGATGATATCACAGCTGACTGATGACATTCTGCTGTGTGTGGGGTTGGGTGAGTGGGTGGGTGGGTGGAGGGAAGGGGGGCTTATGTTTCTCTGCAACAGTGCATGTACGGTGGTGGGTGTTGTGCATGAATGTTTGCCGGCGACAATTACAAGTGAGCCGCTGAACCATGAGTCATTTTCCTGGGTATGAGTGTAAGCCTGGTTGATGAATACAGAACTGAAGGGTCTTCTGAGTCATATTTCTTCTTTAGACTACCAAGAAAATGCTTCAGACCGGTTTATCCCTTCCCCACTCAGAGTGCACTGTGGCCTTTGCACCACGCGAGGGAGCTACTGCATCATTTTTAGGAGCCCGTTGTGTAAGGCGGAAAATATGCATGTACCAAATGTGGTGGTTGTTATTGTGATTCAGCTCCTCACCGCTGGAGTGAGACCTCTCAGAGGCATGCTGGATATTTTCTCAAAGATGGATTGCCAGACAAACACCAGATGAAAAGCCTTTGGGTGATATGAATTTGATTTAGTGGCTTGATTCTCAAGTCAGACTGCAAATGGGGGACAGAAAAACAGCAATAAATGCTTGGAAACATAATTGAGGATTAAATGGTTGTTTATTCAGATCAAAATGAAGCCACAGCGATAATATTCTTCATATGTTGTGGCAAAACACATGAAAAAGCAAGTGAGAAACGTCTTTGTTGAGTCCGCTTCGAGTTAAGGAACATTTCTGCTGTGTAAAGATGACCAAATTCAAATGGATATCATGTGCACCATAACTGTGAATTAATGAATAAGCAGGTCTCTCTACAGGGAGACTGCTGAGCTCGGTTATGTCCGGCCTTTATGGCAGTGGTTTATAGCTGTGTAACTGATGACTAGAGCCCGTGTCCACTCAGGTGTGCTATTTACAAACGTAAATGGATGAGCTTTGCACCAGAAGTTTTACAGTAGCGAAATTATCAACCTCTCAAAAAGCTGACACGTGCAGAGCTGTAAATTGCATCGTATAAGAATAAGACTAGCATTCAGTACTCATATAAATTATACTTCACTTAACTTTGAAATGTTCTCCTGAAAATTGGCAGTGATACAAAATACAGTTGATGTTCAGTGTTTTATTTTTGCCATTTCTTGTTATTGTGTAATTGTCTCTTACAACAAAATTTAACCTTGCAAAGAGTTTGGGGTTTACTTGGCCACATACTGAGAAATCGGAGATTTATGCCATCACCTCAACACCATGAAGATGATGTTGTCTCTGGTGGCCAATGAACAAGAAATGACATTTAAAAACAACAACCCGGTCTTCTCTGAACCTAGTCACCTGTGTACCTTGTTGTGCCCTCCATCGCCCCGGTGGCACCAGGTCTGTCTGTCTATGAGCCCGACTGCAGTACAACAACCCGACACTGGTGTGCGCACTGCAGCTTCCACTCCATCATACTTCCATCAGTAGTCAAGTCAGCCAGTGAGAGCCAGACGCAAACAGGAAATAAGAGCACCATACCGTCAAAATAAAATACCTAACGCTTAAAGGAGGTATAGGTGACTCCATATTTATTATTCTATATTTCAAATGTGCTTACTGTTTGCATTAAAAAAGTTAAAATGGTCACCAAACACAAAGTGGGAATAATTTCCACTAGGCTGAAGCATTAAATATACCTCATAAACACCTTAATGAAGCTCAACAAAAGACTCCACACATTCAGAGCTGAGACATTTGTCTTTATGTGTAGAGTTTATAATATACAATCAACTAAAATAATAAAATCACTGATATCCTCACAGCTGCCGCAGTCAGCTACAACTAACTAACTAAACTCTAACTGTTGATAGCAGGAACATTGCATTAGTGAGTTACTTACAGCCTGTTAATTTGAAGCCCTGACCGGATGTGAAATGTCCCCCTCTCACTAGTTCACTTTGACACCAGCCATCCAGCAGATCCCCACAGAGCAGACTCCACTTCCGTATTCAGAGATCCCAACTCTCCCAGTTCCTGTTTCCGCCGCAGCCTTTCTACTCAATTTTGTGGGAGCAACAATTCTCGGCTGCCGCTGCGCCAGACCCGGTCTCAGCAGCCCCGGTCGGATGCCGCTGGAAGCCGGTGTATCATGTCAAGGTAGGCGATAACAACATCCCGCTTGCATGGCGGAAATGTAGGCGCTATACGGAGGCTCAGCTCGCAGATCTCCCCGCTACATCCCCGGCCTGTTGACTGCGTCGCTGCTTGAGATGCCGGGTGACCAAATAGCGGTCACGGTGGGTAGGGATTCCTGGTCCCGTTATACTCGGATGCTTTTGCGCCGCTTCAGTTGGATGTTCCGGGTGATACCTCGGTGCGTTACATTCAGACGGACTGCCCCGCGGTCTCCTTTATTGGTCATGGCATGTTAAAAAACAGCTCACAGTGTATCCGCGTACTGACCCCGGCAGTTGGCCTGAAATGTCTCCTAAGACCGCCGCGTCACCTGGACCGTTAGTGTGGTAGTGTTGTTTCAGGCTACAGCCATCAACAGTGCTAGAAGCCTGTAGCATACAAGCTAGCTGTCTGTATGTGTGCGGTTTCTTCTTCTTCTTCTTCTTCTATAAATCGTGGGCGTATAAGTTCTCACCGTTAAATGAGAGTGAAATGGCATTTTAACCTCCACCCTCGCGCACACGCACACGCACACACACACACACACAATGTGAAAATGAAGACACATGACACGGGGAGGTGCCTTGACAAGTGTGCGTATCCTTCAGTGTCTTTGCCGGTTAATGTGGCGAATGTGTGGCGAGCAGACAAAGCAGCTGCCTGTGTTTCAGCCTCTGTGCTCGGCTATCAGGGAACCGCTTTGTAACAATCGTCACAGCCAAGGCGTGCGTTTGTTTTCAGTATCTGGAGGTGTGGTTACAATGTATCATAAGGCCTTCTGATATGTGGTTATGATTTTTTTAAAAAAGAGGAAGATAACAGGTCCAAGCTTCATTTCTCACCACATCAGGGCAGTCGGAGGAAGAAGGAAGGGCTTTCTGCTTCCCAGTCCCTCCTCACACACTTCACACAGCTGGATGATGATAGAGATGGCAGCTCAGGCAGACGGTGGATGTGGTTCAGTGTAGCTCATCTAAGCCCCCCCCCCCCAATAGAAGATGCATGCCTGCCCTCACAGTGATGTAAAGTGCCACCAAATGGCTTGTGATAAATGTCCAAATCGCACAGCAAATCCTCAGTACGTGGACGGGTGCAATGTTGTCATGATAATGTTATGATCTCCACAACTTAAGTTGAAAGCGTTCCAAGGCACAGCATGCAGTACGGCTCTTTTTTAATCGTGTTCAATATGACAGATTTAATGGGAAATAAGTGCAATACCTCTTTTTTGCTTCCACATGAAATCGATTTGTGACGTATGGCTTTATCGCCTAATGTCTGCCGGTGATATTACAGGACATATTTCAACTCGCGCTGTGTTATTTGTTTTTATTTCCTTGACAGCATATTGTCTGTAGTATAGTGCCACAATTATTTTTCAATGTTTCGATCCATTTGCAGCCGATATCCACTGTTCTCATTTGAATTGTAGTTGCTGACAAGGGGGGGAACAACCCCGCAACACCGATGGACAACTAATGCATCATTAATGTTATCTAATAAAGTCAGCCGGGGTAACTGGAAGCAGATTGATTGAGTTAGTTGCCCTAACCCACTCATGAATAAGTAAACAGTCATATATATATATATATATATATATATATATATATTGCGGTGACAGCAGTCAATGCCATAGCATGAGAGCTCTGTCTTGGTCTACAGAGGAATGTGCTGCTTCAGATAGACTTTTTTTTGAATTTTAAGTGTTTTTAAACTGTCAGAGGCCAACTATTTTACATAAAGTGAAGTGACTCATGCTTTGGCAGCAATGTGCTTTGATCTGGGCTTTGGCATTTTGGGAATGAATAGGCATAGCCATGGGTGGACCCATTTATATCAGCCAAGTGCAAATAATGAAGTTAAAGCAGTTCATTGTAATTTTGATGAAGCAATTAAATATTAGCGATAACACTCAAAACTAGCCCTCGAAATTCACCTGGCAGGTTTGAATTTTTTATTATTTTTTTTTTGCTGAATGCCTCCCAGTTTGTGTTGTTTCTGCTCGTTGAGCTGATTGCATTGGACAAACGTTGCACTCGCTGTCAGGTGCCTTGTAACACATGATACTGCATCTATAATACAGGAGAATCTGCTTTCTAGAGAGCTATTCTCTCTCTTTCCCCTCCCTGTTTGCCCTCTGTGCCTCCACCTTCCACGTCCCATGCCACTGTCTGTCTTCATTTTTTGACTAATGAGTTCATTAAACATATTAGTGGTGCTCTGCCAAAGAGGTTAGATGCGGTGCGGTGAGCAAAAAAAAAAAATGGGCGGCGACTAATTTCATAGTTTTATCTGCATTTAACACCGCGCACATTTGTCACATGGCAAAGCTCCGTTTCTCTTGTTTGGTTCAGCGCAGCGAGCCACTGCCAAGTGGACTTTTATTTAAAATAGCAAGTCGGGATTTGTTTTTCATTTCAATTCCATCTGCGGGAACCAGCCTGTCACCTGCACAGCAAGTGCCTCTGTTTGCATGAAAAGCCATTCTAATTTCAAGCATCACAGTGTTTTGGCTCACTGTACAGTGTGTGTGTGTGTGCGCGTGTGTGTGTGTACAATGCTTGATATTGGCTTCAGTGTGCTGTTCATACATCCCCTTTTTGCACCCCGTTTTCCCAGACATATCACTTCCCCCCCCCCCCCCCCCCCCCCCCCCCCCCCCCCCCCAATCTCGGGTGGATGAGAAGAGACGGCTGAATAGAGCTATGGAGGAAACAAACAACACATTTTGGAGACATGTTTCCAGTTTTGGGGGCTTCATGCTTACAAACACAAAGCACATTGAAGTGAAGAGGCTGTGCTTGTAGCAAGCTGCAGTAAGCAACAATGCCACCAAAAGAGGAAGGCTCATGCATTGTTTTGTTGGAATTGTTAATCTCTGTGCAGGGTATTTTCTCCCCTATTCCAGACAATGTACTGTATATAGAGCAGAAGCCATTGAATAGAAGCTTCTTTTTTGCCTTTGGTGTATCTGCTTTGAGGAAGGCAAAGACTGAAATATGGATACATGGAAAACACACTCATTTCTGAGTCTTGTTATTAAACACTTGGTCTGCCAAAGACGAGAAAGATAAAGAGTTAGCTTGTTCATCCACATGGTTCAGTGAGCAATGTCCAGTGTGGGTATTTGGCTGGCATTTTTGTTGTGAGAGTGCTGCTTGATTTCTGTCTCACCTACCCTTTAGGTTTTTGAAGTCACCAGCAAAGCGATGAGGAGATAATCGCTAACCTCTCTCAAGATGTTGATGGAATGACGTCTTGTGCGTCAGAGTAGGAACTGTAGAGCTGTAACTAACTGCATATATGCATATTTCTTGCAGAATGCAGCCTCTCTGCAGGGCACCATCTGTAGGAAAAAAAATGCATTTCTGCCATCAGTCTCCTCCTGCTCCCATCCTACCTGAGGGCCATTATTATCTGTAATGTAAGACAGAGTGTCTGTCTAGTGATCGTACGAGCCAATCACAGGGCGAGTGTGTGGGGCAGGTTTCCATGGAGAACAGCGAGCCGGACTGAAGCTCGGCTCGAAGCAGCCTAGCCTGATCCAGACTGATGGCATTCTCCGGCAGCAGCAGCAAAAAGGAAAGGCCCCAGCAGGCCCTGCCCTGCTGTCCGCCTGTCTAAATGTCTCGCTGCTTGTCTACCTGTCTTACTCAGTTGAATGTGTGAAGACAGAGTGGACGAAAAAGGGTTCTTTCTGATTAGAAATTCATTCAGACAGGCACAATAGGAACTTGGCCCCGGCAGCCATGTGGCATCAGATTGGATTTGTGTAGGGACTGGATCTAGAACACACATTGCCTGAGCCACAGCTGTCTTGGGTGGGTTTGCAAGACGTAGTGAGTGAGTGAGTGTGTGTGTGTTGGGTTTGGGCTGAGGGGGGTAGACCCGTCAGAGATCCTGACCCCGGACCCTTAAAGAGTGTGCTGGCCCAGCTCTGTTTAGCCCTGCGGGAAGGCTGCCCAGCCTGCAGTGCACTCACATCAGAAAGGGTGTGTGTGTGTGTGTGTGTGTGTGTGTGTGTGTGTGTGTGTGTGTGTGTGTGTGTGTGTGTTGGAAGCACTTATGTGTGCTCGCTTTTACTGTGTCTTGGGGAGTTATTGCTGCTGCAGCCTGAGCTGGGAAGTGGGTCTTACGACATTTCTTCGTGGCTCATTGGAGCCGTCCAGAAATAGGCATGTACCCATCCACATGCAGCGGCAACATTCTCTCCTTCCCTTTTTGTTTCTCATTTTCAGTTGGAAGCACTTAACTGCCCCTTGTTGCACAGCCGCCTGCGTGCCTTTGCATTATTTTGTGTGTGTGTGTGTGTGTGTGTGTATATATATATATATATATATATATATCTCTTTGAATGCTCAACACCAGAAGAATGCAGTGAAGTTAGTGGCGCCACCTCTGCATGATGAACCGTATTCACATGGGTATGACACACACTGAGAATTTTTAGCTCTTCAGAAGTTGCTGAGGGACTCACTGTGGGACACAAACACCCCCCCCCCCTCTCCCTGCCAACCAACCAACCACCCACCTACCTAAAAAAAAATCCCCTGATGCTTAGTGCCTATGGCCCATCAAACAGTCTTGTCAGCCCCTCTGAGTCCCCAGCTCAGGCCAGGATCAGAGCAGGCATGCAGGGCTGGAGGGATTCGGGGATGCTGCTAAAAATTCTCAGCCGCATGACGAGATACTGCACTGTCTGGGTCTTCTGAGCCCCACAGGGCCGAACTGAAAACAGGCTCCAGACCTGCGTCGGCCTATAAAGGGCTCTTTCTAGCATTGGGAACCTCCCTGGAAGTGCGAGCCCACACTAGCGGCATCTCCAAATGGAAGGGACAGAGATTTGGAGTGCAAAAGAGGCAGATGGGTACGGAGGGCAAATTAGGAATGAAGAGAGAGGTAGTAATTGGGACAGCTGCGCAGCTCGAGGCGTAAGCAGTCAGATCACCCACCTCACTTCCACCCCCCAAAAAATGAAAAAG